CAGATGTCCAAACCCATAGACACCTGTCTGATTTCCATTAGCTCCTTCCTGGTGGAGGCCTGATCTCTCTGTCTCTGGCAATCTGCAGAGGAGCCACGAGAGACAGGAGCCATCCTGCCCAGTGCGGCCTGTCCTGCCTGTCTGGAGCCAGGACAACATTTCATTCCTGGCTGGACCAACAGGCCAGTGACTATTTTTACATACATGGAAATGCAGAATGTGGAGATATTTTCATGGCTATGGCAGCACACATCTGTTCCAGACAGCAGAAAAGCAGTGGGTGTCGCACATGGCACTGATGTGTGCCCTGTGCCTTTAAAAACTGACCACACATCCCATGGAAAGGATCCCGTAAATGTCAGTCAAGGCATCATTAGTGTCTGCAAAGGTACTTCCTGGCAATAATTGATTTCTTAATCCAGACCCCAATCTGCTCCACTGATATTCTTTAATGACTTTCTGAAGTCAGTGATAACAAATTGGATAAGAAAAGATGTTTTTGTCAATCTGGGGGACTCACAGGAGACACAAAGGCGGAGTTAACGCGGTGCTGTTGCCAGGAGTGACTGAGCAAACAGTGTTTGCAATTACAATTCACCTCCCTAACTTCGTTTCCAGCAAAGCAGCAGCACTTTAAGTTTAATTATGGCAGCCCCAGAGTAAAGCAGAGGGGGGGGGAAATTGCTTTCCATCACTTATTTGTTCTTTTGTCTTTCACACTTCTCAGCAAACTCCACCATACAATTAAACTCTAAAGGCTGTTTGCTGACAACCTGTGGTCACAAGGTAAGGCAAGATGATGATCATGCTCAAGGCAGGTCCCCTCCTTCCTGCAGTGCCAGGTTCTGCCAAAGTGCTTCCTGTGCACCAAGTGCTGCACATCACACTCCGGTCATTGGCAAAGGGGTGTGATGTGAGTGGAGCTGGCAAGTTTCAAAAGCTCGCCATTACAATTGCTTAACGAGGAACTGCATTAATAGCCTGCTTCTCCCACACCTCCCACTCAGAGCAAAGGGTAAATTCAGCCATTAGAGTGGCTGGAAAACACTGGTGTCTCATTTCAAAATTCCACTCAAATTCACCCCTAAGAGTAATAAGCTGCTGTGGCCTCTAATTTCAATAACAGCAATATAGAGCGTGGGGAGGGAAGGCTGAGCTCCCCAAGGAAAAGGAAACACCAGAACATTTTCAGACATCATGGGGAAAAAATTGAATTAAAAAGATTTGGGAATCTTAATGTCATAAAAAGCAATCCCAAGATTGTTCTATATTGCTTTCCAGCTTATATCTGCACACTGTAATATACCAACATATAAACTGATTTTTCTTCTACTATTGAAAAATCAAATAAATGAAACAGAGACTCTTGAAGGACATTCAACAGTGAGAAAAGACTGCTAAATTTCAATTCTGTGAGTAAACTGAGACAAGGGACACAACACCATCATTTTAACAATCTTCTGGCTCTATCAGGCTGCCTCTTTGTGGCTTATCAATCAAGAAAATGAGAACATTCTGGGTCTCAAATGAAGGAGAAACAATTAAACACAAAATAGGACCCAGGATGTTTTAGAGGAACCTTGATCAGCTTTGGATGCAGACAAAGCCATGATCAGCAACTCCCCTTGCCCACTGATCGATCACTTACTGATTTATGAAGAAATAAGTAGGAGAAACCAAGGCTCCAAGCTGGAAAAGGTCTGGCTGCTCTTTGTTAGTTGCAACCCTGTGGAGAAAAAAGGGCTTTTCCTCCTCATCTCCCTTTAAATGTAACACCTGCTGAAGTTTCTGGCAGGTGTAGGGTGTTGGGGCCAGGTGCAACAAAATTGGGAGAACCTGGTGAGGACTGGTCCATGGTAGGGAGCAGGCAGAGAGCTAAAAGTCAGAGGTGACAAAACAAGGTGGCTTTTGCAGAGACCCACAGGATCAGTGCAAGTGTTTGTGCAGCTTGGAAAGATTCTGAAAGCTGCTGAGGCAAAAAGTGAGCCTGGAGGGAAGAAATGCCCCAGGAATTTGGGAATATCTGCTCTCCAGCTGCCTCTGCCTCACCCCAGCATCTCGGAGCTCCTGCCCTTTGAACAAGGTTTCCTTGCTCCAGTTCCATGCTTTGGTGTGCTCTAAATATGATTTTGCAGGTAGACAGTCACTGGTCACTCTTGATGAGCTCACTTTGAAGAGAAGTCTCCCACCAGGGCTTCAGGGAGTCATGAACACTTCTCAAACCTCACTGGGTGTTTGCACCAGCAGCCCCAGCTGCTCCCTGTGAGCAGGGGCAGCCTGGGGGTGCCATCCCTGCAGCCCACCCATCCCTTGTCTCAGTCTGGGAGGGGCTGAGCCCTGCGGATGATGCCTGCCCTTCTGTCCCTCCCAGCCCTGCATTTGACACTTTTCTCCACTCAGGCAGGGATAACTGGAGGGTTAAGGTGTGGCCCTGTATCATACAGGCTGATGTAGAGATTCCAGTGCAAGGGCTATAAGCATCACCACTCTGATCCTGAGGGTGGCCAAACTTTGCTCCTCCAGCTGCTTAAAATCCCTGTCCACCTGATTTTTCCACCATTTAGGAGCCCTCTCTCTGTTCCCAGCATCTGGGCTTCGAATTTATACATTGTGTTGCCTGTAGTTTTCTTTAGGCTTTGACATGTCAGTTATCTAATGTCAATTAAACTGCTGGGAATGTCAGCATTTTAATTTTCTGGGAAGCTGCTTGCTTCTCAACACATTCTAATCTTGAATTTCAGCTTTTTTTTTTTTTTTCCAGGCCTAGACCTTTCCTAAGTACACAGGGACAAAAGCTCCAAATTATTATCCTGTGGTTTGGAGATTCTGAGCAAAATGTGCCCTGGGGCTTAGCCTGAGAACATCAACTCATTTTCTTTAGTGACCCGAGACAGATAACCAGAGGCTGGGCTTCCAAAGGTGAAAGGCTGCTGTCACTAAGCCACTGCAGCAACTTAATTGAATGTTTTCTCCCAGCACCAGCAGCAAAGGCTGCTTTTACTATTTGTTCAGTGTTGGGATTAGGATGGAGTATTTGCCTGACCTGTCTCAGAAGAAAAAATGTAAAAGGAAAAAAAAATGTTTGCAATTACTTATTGAGTGCCATCCTGACGCATCCAAGGGTCATTTGCACAGTCTGCCAGTCACTCTGGGTCAAAATTCGTTTCTCCTTTGGTGTATCACACCCAGGATGGCTTTGTTGCATGTTATGACCTGTCCCACACCCACAGATCATCAAACATTTGAATTAAACAGCACAAACTCCATAGTGCCTTTTATTTCTTTTCTTTTTCCCCCCACAGAGCTCTTAGATATTTTGGGGGATGTTTCCCAATTTTTTCCCAAATATAAATGTTTAAGTCATAATATTTCGTTTCCATTAGTTTTGGAATGGAATTCTGCATTTATCTGGGATGGAGGGAGCCTGGAGGAGTCACCGGGACGTTCTTTAGTTCCCAGTGGGGAAATGCAGATCAGTTCACAGCCTGAACCTGAGAACATTTGCTTTTCTTCCCCACCCCTTTGCATGCACACCCTCCTAATGGAGATGGAGGAGAGATAATCAGAGAGGGAACAGGCAGCTCTTCACCATTTGTGAGACTAATGAGCCCCTTCATTTAGTCTCATTATAAATATGCCACCTCTGGCACCAGGCTTTGGTTCTGTTCCTAGCTACATCAACATCAATTTCGAGGCACGCTGATGCATCACTAACAGACACGACAGCCAAACCTCTCCTTTTCAGCATTTTTTTGTCTGAGACCTTCCCTTCCTCACTGCTCCCCCTGCAAGAGGCAGAGGAGCCCAGATTGAAAAGTAATGAGACTATTAATTAGAGCTTCTCTAAAGGAAACCCATCCTGGCTGGGTGTTGTCTCTGTCTCAGTCTTTGTTCCAGCCATGTTCTGTGAGATTCATGCTTGTTTACACAGATTAATACAATAAATTAATATCTCCAGCTAGGGAAAAAAAGGTCAGCCTGAGTAAAAAGCCTGATTATTCCTGAGGTGGACAGTTGGGGTTCATTTTGTGGAGACACAACCATTTTGTCTTCTTTGCACCTCTTCTCTTCTTTAAAAACCATTTTATGGCAGTTGCTGAGTGCAGCAAGGGAGAGACACAGAAATGTTTCATCAGTTTTGGCTGTTCACACGCTGTCCAGGCCATGGGGGTGGGAATCTGTTCCCTCAGCAATTCAGAGCTCTGGCTGAAATGAGTTTGTGGTCTCCTGTCCAAGAAAATGCAATCTTCTGTGGAGATTTTATAGCTGAACCACACTCATTGAGGACTGAGCAGATAATGGCTGATGTTAGCTGAAATAATTCCTTTGTTGAGAAATGTAAATGTAACCACAGCACAGATGACCAGTGCAACACCAGGTTATGATCTACTGTCATGGATCAGTCAAGGTACAAGTTGTCCAGGACATCCAGTTGTTGATTTGGTCATTACTGTGTATATTGTGCCTTTTTAATCTAAAAAAAACCCTAAAGCAAAGCTGATTTTACTCTTCCTGTCTGCCAAATATCTTATTGAGACCCCTTTCTGTAATATTAATGATGCAATGCTTTTAACAATCTGATTTTTTAAGAAATAAGATTTTTAACCTCTGAAGTAACATTATATTATTTTAGTTTCCTTGTTAGCAACCTCTAAAGTGAACAGGATCTAGATGAAGGTTAGAAAGACAATTCCTTTAAAGTTTTAAAAAATCTAAACCTGGAAAGCAACACCATGAAATTTCTCCAAAATGTTAAAAGATCAATTATTTTTCTGAATAATCAATAATTTTCCAAGCAACTTTATATGTATACCTTTTTTTACTTAAAGTATGCAGCATACACCAAAAGTTCATTTTTAAATAAAACCAAACATCTTCAAACAGAACTAAATAAAACTGCTGAAATTAATGTCATTAAAATTGTATTTTTATTAAAAGCAGAAGCTAAATATTCCCAAAATAGAAATTTCAAAATTAAAGAGAAAAGAAAAAAGGGTCAATTAAATGACTAAATTCAGTAGGTCAAGATGAACCCCTGCATTCAAAAATTTGGTACATTCACTCAGCAAGAACTTTCAGTTATTTTAATGGAGTCCTGCTATTAGGCTTGTGAAAGTCTCTCTTGCTTGTAAAAAATGACGAATGGTGAGTGCCAGATCTGCCCTGGCAGAAGGTTTCTTCCTTTCATCTTCTAAATACAGCTGCTCTGGCTGGGTCTGAAAGCCTGGCCTGGATGCAGCAGCCCCAGCCAAACACTGCCTCCATATCCAAAATCTCTTCCCTGAAGGAAACCCACAGACAATAATGACAAATACATCTAGTTGGCAACCTTCTGGTTTAGGCACAGTCTGGATTTAAACCAGGATATGGACTTGAAAAAGAAATATTCTTTGTGATAATGTAGAAAAGAGCTGTGCTTTCCTCTTCTCCTGGGCTTCCACACTCTGCTGAGCACAATTTGCTGCTGTCTCACAGAATGGAGAAAAATGTGGTTTCTTCCTCAAAAGATGCAGCTTTCCACACTTTACTACTGATCTGGAAGAAGAAAAGATCTATTTTATTTCCTTGAGCCACCTAGGTGTGGTGAGAAAATATCAATACACCTAACAAATATAAGCACAAGTCCAGACCAAGGTAAATAAAAGTAAAGTAAAGCATAATATATATATTTACTTTTTAAAAAAAATATATATAAAGTATAAATAAGTAAACTTACTTGTATATAAAGTAATTGTATATATAAAGTATATGCAAATATAAATACAAATACAGACAAATCCTAGGGTGAGGAGGTGGCAGGTGAATGCAGCCAGACCAGAAGTTTTGTGAAGTTCACAGCACTGTTGGTCAGCTCAGCTGTTGGATTCATGCTGGTCAAAGCTTTCAAGAGAAACCTCATGGTGGTGCTTTCTAGCACAACTCAAATAACCAGAGTTGTGATCTCACCTTGGTAATTCATGGTTCTGTTACCTCCTGGCTGAACTGCCTTAATGTAACACGTGTTTTAGAAGTATTTTATTTTCTATATTTTACTGCATCCCACTCTGAGCTAGCACACACCAAAGCATACAGCTTGTTTTCCTAGAAACAGATTTAAGAGTACACTGTAGAACCTACCACTTTCATTTGCTTTGGATTGAAAATTCATTTATTTTGCTTGATATCAGTACCAAACTCTCAAGATACTTTCCCATAAAATTCTAACAAGAATAATATCAAAGGAAGATATTATTGCTCTTTTGTTATTCCTGGTAGCCCAAATCTGTGTCCTGCTTGCTGGAATGACAAGTAATCTTTTCAATTCACAACATTCTGCCTCCGTGCCCTTCAGCAAAGCAGAGAAAAATCCCACTGTAGAAGTTACAGGTTAAAAATTTTTAGTATTTCCCAAAAGAAAATTGTTATCATTCCAGCAACTCTGTTCACAGGTTTTGTGGGCAGCTTTCTAGGCAGCACAAATGTGTGAATCTCCTGCCGTGGGACCTCCACTGCTTCCACCCAAATCTGAGTCTTCCACCTGCCTTCCCATCTTAATAACTGATGGAAAATGTCACATCCTCTCCCCAGGAAATGCTGAGATAATTGTTAACCACAAAAGTCTTTACACTTTGACCTTATCCCCTTCTTTCTGTTTTTAGTTTTCTTGTACCTATTAGTAAAAAAGAATCCTTAGCAACAAGATATTTCACTGTCCTTAACAAGTATTACAAGTGCCACAGAGAATAGGAAACAAAGATTTATCATAATGAAACAAAACTGAAAAATTCTTACCTCTCACTATTCTTTTTTTGTTGTTTTGTGACCTTTATCACCAAATGTAGATCTTCAAATCAGTTTGTCAGACAGACATGCTCCAGAGATTGGAATGGAGCCACGTAGAAAATCTTTGTATCAGACAGAATAATACAAAGAAATCTGAAAGCAGTCCAGCTCAGAGCTCTACAGATAAAAAGAATAGTGAAAGAGAAGGATATTAGGTGGTCTGGATGAAAATAAAAGGTTTTTTTTTTATTTTTCTAAAATCCTGCAATTCAATTTATTTCAGCAGAAAAAAATCTAGTCTTGTTTCTGTCCTTGGCTACTAAGCCATAGATGTTTAGTTGTAGAACACTTTATAACATCTATTTCACTTGACAGAAGCCATAAAGCTTTCCTAATTTCCTTAACAAACTTAAAAACTACAATAAAATCTCCAAAACTAGAATTATTGCCAAGAAACCAATAAGCCACTTTCCTGACATAGCGGGAAAAAATTCAATAAAATCCCCAGCTAAATCAAAGCAGGCTTCTGTGTCCACAGCACAGAAAGAAGCCAAAAATGAGCAAAATCTAAATGCTACCAGTCTGAAGGAAGAACTCTTCTGCAGCCCCAAATTTGAGAGGTCCATGGTGCGAACTGGGTAAAAAAATAACAGAAATATTGGGGTTTTGGGAGTACTGGGAAGCTCTATCCTTTTATCATCTCTCTGAAACCTTTCCCAGGGGATCAGAGAGGAATAGGGAGAGAAATGCTCTGAGGATGTGAGGGAGGGAGAAGCAATAAGAGAGGAAATGATGGAACCCTTGGAAGATGGGACATTAACAAACAAACAGCATGCCCAACAATTTCAAATCCTTTCAACAGAATTTCTTCTCCCACTCTCAAGAACTCCAGCTCGAAATGGCTCATATTCTTCTAAACAGAAACTTCCTTCTTCTGATTATTAGCAACCTTCTAATTTTGAGTCTAAATTTATTCATTACTCCATGATAAATAGTTATTTTTTAAATCTCTCTTCCTCCTTAATGATAATTATGCCTCAGCCCTAGATGCATTTACCAACATCTGTTCACTCAGCTCTCCTCTGGCTATTTTCATAACCAAGTTCTCTTTTCATAAGAGAGGTAATCCATTCATTCCATCATCCCAGGAAGTTTTGTAGTTTTGTTCTGTATCTGTTTTCCTTTCATTTTTTGTTCTTCAGGAACCATGACCAGAACTATTTGTATTCTGATTTTCTGTATTTTCCTGTATATTCTACAATTTCACTTATATATCCTGAAACACATGATTTGTCCTTGGAATTTTGCAGCTCCATTCTGCAGCTCCAAATGATCAGATCAGACCACACACTTTTGGTGTCTTTCCTTCCCTGTCACCTCCAGCTGACAAATTCTAATTAAACCTTGATTTAGGTCCACATACGCTTTTTACAATGCTTTCTAATCTTAGTATGACCTGGTTTTGCTACTGTTACAACTTTAAATAATACATTTATGCTGTCCAGAATCAAAGATCTTTCTGTTCTAAGAGCTGACCTGTCAGAAAGGTCAAACCCACCTAATATGTTGTATCTTTCTCAACAAACTCCTTAAATAGTTTTTTAATCGGAGATAATAATTTACTAGAGCAAGCAAATGCCAATAATTTATGTATGTGTATACACAGGGACCTATCTCCAAATTATCCTCATTAGGCACTGAATGAAGGGATGTGGATTTTTTTTAATGAAAAGGGCTCTGAGTGAAATAATTAACTGACTTAAAACTAAGTTGCTGACAATGATTTCAATTATCAGCCTCATTAACAGGGTGAGGTTATGACTCCAGGTTGGAGTAGTCAGCAAAGAGTGTTGCTAGACTGAAACAATATTTGCACTCAGTTTAGGTGTCTATATCTGTAAAATAAAGGTCAGGAGGGCAAAAATCCAGCAAAAATGTGTCCCACAGCTCAGTAATAAAATTCAAGAATGCATCTTGCTTGTGAAGATGTCCTGATTTGCTATTCAGATGATTTTTTCCCCCCATTTTTAGAACTGTCTGAAGTCCGATTACTGTGTTCTAACTTTTATCTGAAATTGCTTTGGACTTCTGAATTTCCCCCAGATTTACTTGTAATTGCCTGGGTCTCTGCTATTCAACAGCTTGGAAATTCCATTTTCCAGAACGAAATGGCAAAGCGTCTTGATGCGGAAGAAAAGGCAGGCTCTGGGTGCCACGAAGGAAGGCTCAGTTTCTATAAATACTGGCCTATTTCCCATTCAGCTGAACATGCCTGCAGCGTGGGATGCATCTCTCCACAGCAGATCACTCAGACAGTGTCACAGGGGTTTCACATTTCCTATTGGAAATTGCCAATCAACAGATTTTTACACCGAGCTCGTTTTTAGTCAGCGGCACATCATTCTGGAGTGACAAATTACAGGGAGGTTTTTAGGACTGTGTCATGAATTCTGGCAAAAAGCTTCAACAGCTCTGGGTGGGCTGAGCCTAAGTTTCAATGGATACCAAATATTTTTATATTTAACCCCTTTATAATAAGATGTATATTTCTGGATAATCTCCATGGCACAGCACTAATAAACATGGAACTAGAAGTGATCCAGCCCCACACATAAAAAAAACTCCCAGATGCACTTAAGAGGTTTGAACTTTTCAAGGGTCTGATCAAAGCTGAGTGGAGTGAATGGAAAGGCTCATATTGACATCAGTGGCCTCTGGAACAGGCTTGATGTGTTGACAGCTAGAGAGATGCTCTGAAACCATCTGAAAATAAATTCAGAGTCTGATAGGCCACTGTGGCAAAGAGATACCATTGCTTCATTCTCTGCCATGTCAGGAAATTATCTCTGAGCTGTCAGAGTGGGTTTCTCATTTTAGTGTTTGTGTTTCTAGCCCATCTCTCACCAAATGGCTTTCCTTTTGTGTCTATGACAATTGATTAGTAACAAAAAGCAACAGGGTCATAAAAGTAGCACACTTTGCATCTATAATATGAAATATTCTTGCACACAGCCAAGTATTTCAAATAACATTCACCACACTCCAGAAAAAGCTGAGACAAATCGGTCTCTGCTAACACAGGCCCCATGTACTTCAGCATTCCCTTACATAACATTAGTGAGAAAATTTTAACTTTCCCCTAAGCTCTAATCCACCTTAAAAGCAGCAGTCTCATTCCAATCGATTTGGTGAGATGAATGTTATTTACACTTCAGTTTGCACCTTTTTCTAAGATTTCATAAAAGAATAAATCCACACTTCCAGGGACGGCTGTGCAGGAGGAAGTCTGGGGCTGTTAAGAAGAAGTGTTAGACACGTATGGGAATGTATTAGTAAGGGTCACACCTCCATCTTAAGATTTTTAAGTGACAGCAAGAGCATAAAAGACAGCAGGATGGCAAAGGGAGATTGATTGCATGTGGGTTTTTTTTTCTTTATAGCCAGGTTTTTAAAATTGTTAAGCATCGCTCTCCAACAACCCAGACAGGCCAGGCTGTCTAGGTGCACCTCCATAAATAAGACAAATGAAGCTTTTGATGAAATAAATCCTTTCAATTAAATATATCATTTCCATGCTGTCTATGCTGAGGCCAGCAAACACCTCATAACAAATGTGTTGACAAAACAGAGGTCAGTTAAAGCAAAACTGTGTTTTTTGTGGTAAAAATTCCTTGGAGCAGCCAGGTGAAATTGAGAGGACTCTTCCCAAAGGTTAGAATTAGGGTTGGAAAAAATTCTGAGAAATTTACACTAAAGTAGAACAGTGATTATATCACTTTTCAATTCTAACACTTCCCTTTTTTTTTGCCTGTCTTTTCTCTCACTCCAGTGTATTTTCCCCAGCCATCAGAAGAGCAACACTGGAAATGTCATTACAGTGATCTCTCCGAAGTGATTTGCTCATGGATCCTGCTAGCACAACCAGAATCTGTTCTCTGGGCTTCAGTTCCATCTGCTGCAGCACTTAAATCACATCATGGCCTTTTACATGGCCTGGTCACCCAGAGAGCTGCTCTGCAGGAGAAATCTGTTCAAGCTCTGCCCCATGGTCAGGGCTCTTGGGCTTGTTGGAGATGCCACTGTCACCTCTGCTGGGCACTTTCAGGAGGTTCTTCAGGAGAGCTACCAGTTAATATTGGTTTCGCATTTGTGACAGCAAAACTGGGTAAAGTGTCAGCACTTAACAAAGCACCTGACTTCACTGGCAGCCAAATTATTATTTTTTCTTATGGGTTTTTGGGGATGGCATATAGCTGTGGTCTCCTGAGCAAAACAATCTGAAAATGCTGTAAAGACCACTCCTCACCACATAGCAGGTCAGTCTGTGCTTGAAATCAGCAGTCTTAAAAATCAGCTTCACTCAAACTCTACACTGCAAGAACAAAAATACAGTGGTGGCCTGGTCTTTGTTTGGTACCACTGGGTTGTGTTTAGGGAAACCTGAGGCTCCAGGCTGGGATGAAGGACTATATTTGCCCTTGTTTTATCTGAGTTACCAAAGCATTTTTGAAATCTTTAAAGCCTTGAAATTATCTTCCCACGTCAAACAGCCCCCTTCCAACCATTCTAGAATTTTCCCACCAATTCTTCCTTATTTTCATTAAGGCAAAATCAGCTTGGATTTTAAGGGCTTACACCAAAGGTCAGAAGAAAGCCCAGTTCTGGATGATGGCTGATCCAACAATCTTTCCTGGATGCTCACTTTCCTGCACCATGACCCTGTGAAAGTCACACCGACAGTGTTCTAGGAAATTTTACATATGAAGACTTTCATTGGTTTTGCTTTGGGGTATGAGTTTGGAAAGAATGGATTCAACAGCACAGAAATATTTTATAGGTTCATTTTTTTGTTATTAATTCTTTGTTTTATAAAAGTTCTGGAAGAATGAAAAGAGAAGATGTTTTTCTGATGTTTCTTCTGATGTTTTTAATTTCAAGGGGGCACTTTTAAAATGGACATAACTGAAATGAAACTGTTTATTTGTGTACAGCACCAAAGATGCTATTTTTACAGAGCGAATTAGGGGTATTTTTTGATGGCTAAGAGGATGGCAAGTGTTGATGTGTGCTGATAGCAATCATTCTGCAGTGGATGCAGGAGAAGCAAACAGCTTGGAAGGGGTGAAGCAAGGTCTCCCTGAGGGTTTTCTCTTGTGTGACACAAATTTCCCCCACCTTCCTTGCTACAAGTACTTCTGGCTTGGTTTTTCACCAGACTGTCCAGTAGCTCCTTTCTGCATGTTCACACAGCATCACAAATCAAGCAAGAGCTGTCCTATGGAAGCCAGAGCTAACAAGAGGGGACTATTTATAGCATCAAAGTGAGTTTAACAAATGGATCATGGCTAAGGCAGCATGACAGCCCTGCTGCCTAATTAATAGAGACACCAAAGGTGATTTTGCAACAGAGCCAGAATCCCCACTATGCTGGGCCTTCAGAGTCTGCAGTTCTCTTGTGTTAAGCAAGCAGAAAAAAGCAGCCTAAATATACCCCAAACCTGGCCCATAAATGCTCTAACTCACTGTGCTCTGAGACAGATAATAAAAGGTTTTCTTGTTTTGTTTTGGCTTCACTCTTTGTTTATCCTAGCATACAATCAGAACTCATTGCTTTCACTCTTTCTCTCCTTTTATTAATAAAAAATTACTAATACCTCTTGAGATGGACCATGGTAGGCTGGACTGAAGGCCTCCAGGTAAAAAAGGGCTGAAACTCCTTCTCTGTAGAGAAACAGGTGACAACATTGGCACAAAAGTGAGACAGAAACGAGTCAGAACTTGAGCTTTTTCTCCTATCATGCCATTATGGCTAAACCCTGCCCACTCTTGTGCTCCAAGGATTTTATGGGGGCGCAGATTTTTGAATACTTGGCCTGGAGAACTGAAAATATACCAGGCTTTTTATTAATGTCTCCCAAACTCCCCACAGATCTTTTAAAAGGATATTGAATGCAATTGCCTGAAAGATAATTTTATAGCAAACAATTTTACCAACACAGAATTTTTTCCACAAATGAACTTGCTGTGCCTGCAAGACAGTCTCTCTATGCTTTCCTATCCTTTGAATTCCTATTAAATTTGGCTGAAGCCACATGAGTTTAAAAAGATATTTTTCTCAGTAGGCCATCCTGTTTCAGGAAGTCCTCAGCTCACCATGGCTAAGCTTGTCTTTGGAAATTATTATCTCAGAAGCTTCTCTCCAGGGAAATTACTGCAATCCAATCACCACAAATGTAAATTAAATCAGCATCCCATACAGCCACAGTGGGTTGTGTTCCTCCCCACTCCTTTCTCCCTTTGAGAAATCTAATTCTGAAACCACTGGAATAAATTCTGCTGCCCCCTCCCACAAGGAAAGAGCTGCAAAGATCTGAGAGCAGATACAGTCTGCAGGAAATCACAGTACAACTTGCTTGTGATGCTTATTTTGGGTCATGACTTCAGCAGCTTCCCTGCTGCTCAGCCCCTCTCCTCCTCTGCATTTGTCCCATATTCTCTGTGGCAGAGATAAAACTTCCAATCTCCCCTCTCATGTTGGACCCTGTTTCCAACATGCCACTCTGGAAGTTGTGCAGGTCTGGGAAAGCTCCTCCTGTGAGCTGAGATGTAGAACCAGGCAGCAAAACATTCTGAGAAGTTTAGGATGTGCCTCACCCCGTGACTCTTTAAATCTTTTGCAGCTTGGAGAAGTGTAGTACTATTTAGGAAAAGCATCAAGTTTCATTTAATAGCAACTAACAAACCAAAATAAGGAAAGGGGTAGGTGAGAAGAAGCTGAAGGAGTGATGCAGAAAGTTTAAAGCCTTAAAGAACAAAGTGAGTTACCCAAAATTGTCACTTTGGACTCCACCCTTGCCCAAGCACAAATTTAGTTCCATGTGCCGGATAGATGCTCACAAGTCTGACAATTCAGAGGCAGAGGAAATAAAGCAGTGAAATACCTTCAGCTGTGTGTCCCCAGTCACCAATTGTTCTGCATCATGGGGCTGAAGGAAGCCAGTGCTAGAACAAATCACACTGAGAAACTTTAAAGGTTGTTTAACAATTATAGGTTAGCGTGTAGAACAGTGATGTTCTCTCTTCAAAATAAAATGTCCACATAACTTGCAGTGATGGAAACTGGGCTTATTAAAAAATGTCATATTTAACATTTAAAATCTATTCCATATCAATTTTCATGGAAAAAATATTGTTCTGCTTGGGATGAAAAATGTTATCCCTCAAAAAATGAGCAATATTCGAAGAGTTGCTACAAATCTTGAGAGAATCTTCCCATCACTTACACCCCTTTATTTTGGTTTGAGTATGAAGTGTTTAAAACTCCAGTCACCAAAAAGCACAAACTTACTCTTATACCATTTATAAATCTTTGCTTTATTCATGGGGAGTCAAAGTGTATCATAATTATTCTTAAAAATATTAGTAATTGCTAATCTTCAACATCTAAACAACAGTGATATAAAGAACAGATAAAAATTAATTTCTTTACCCTGTAAATCTAAAAAGATATATTAAAATTTTGGATTGTTTTTTGTCAAATGCATATACACACACACACACACACACCTTCATTTACTTCTACTCAGCAAAACAACAACTTTCCTTCTAAATGTATATTAGGAAATAATGGTAAATATTGTACAAAATCTATCTTTTGAGTTATAAGAAAACTTTTAGCTGAAATTACCATGAGTATTTGAATGTGCAGGCATCTTCCAGGAATCTATATTGACAGTCAATGTTGGTGTCACAGCACAGCACAGTTAGTGGATATAGAGGTTTTTATGTCTTGGAATGAAGATGCAATACAGCTGGACAATAAAAAAAAAACCCACCCTCTTTTTATGTAAGAAGGACAGGCTTTGATGCATTTCCAGATTTTCATTCTGCCTTTCTGAAGCTTTAAGTTTTCTATGTATCAACAATCCATAGAATGTTTCTTCTGAGCAACTTTACTGAGTTTCAAAAGGGAAAGATTATTTGTACACAGGATTTATACATAGCTTTGTTAAACTCCCATTAAATCAGAAAACTCTGGGAACTCTGGAGGTAAAAAAGGCAAGAGAATCAGTTCAGCTGTTATACAATTTCTGGCACGTAGTGGGGGTCAGAGAAAAAAAAAATCAGGGACAATTCTGTCAGTTGTAAACATGGGCAGAAATGGTAAAATATAGTTTAAAAGTGCATTTAAGTATGCAGCTGTATTCCAATGGATGGCATCATCCAGGGAGTGATAGAGGCTCAGACTGGTAATGTAATGTAAGCAATTAGTTCTGGCAGCTACAAAAGAACTGGCGAAGCAGAAAAATCAGTCTCAAGAACTAATCTGTATCTGCACAATAGCAATGTCTTGATAACACATCTGAAACATGGCAGTTCAAACAGGCAGGGCAGAGGAGCTCTATGGATGCCTCAGAGAGCTGTCACCCACTAATGGCTCCTAGAGCCAGGTGGAAGCAGGGAATTATCATCTGGAAAAGCTGGAAGGGAATACAGGCAAACCATCTCCCACTAAAAAAAAAAAAAATACAAAAAAAATTAAAAATGTGCTTCAGTGAAAAAAACCCCATCATTTAAATTTCAATTTTACAGAGCAGTTTTCCCAAAGAGCAGTTTGCTATTCATCAGCAAATTTAAAGCACTGTGTGCACTCACAGCATACAGCGGCTGTAACCCCACAAACCACTTATATTTAAATTTGTACCAGTCCAACGTAAATGCAATTTGTCTAAATGATGATGTTTTTCTGTGTTTTTACAGTACCTACAGTTCTCACTGTGAACTCCTTTGTGGAATTTGTCAAGGTTGAGCTCCTGCTGCCTGCTGGGACATTAATAGGATCCCTCCCTTTTTTCAGCTTTTTCTCCCAGAAATAAACACAATATCCTGGACACACCTCTTGTACTACCAGGCCAAAAACTGGCCAGAGATGATGCAGATTTTAGGTAGAGCAAGGCAGAAGGAAGAAGAGCATCAAAAAATTCAATGTAGATAAATCTTTCTGCTTTAACAAAGCAATCTTAAAAAAAGCAGGTACTTTTACAAGTGTTCAGCAGGGGAGAATTGTACAGGTCCTGATTGACGCACTGTGAAAGTTATTTTTAAAATCACACATGTAAGTATCCCAATATCACTTGCATGGAATTTTTACAATATAGGAATTTCTTAAAGCCTACTGGTTTGAAATTGCAAAAGAATTTGTAATTGTGCAAAGTAAAAAGTATGCCTGGGGATGGAAAAAGACTTTGGAAACATATCTGAAACTTATCTTTCATTTACAATAGTTAAACTGGAAAGACAAAAAAAGAAAAAATTTCAGATTATTTGATCCTGTGGATCATTCTTGTTTCAAAAGTAGCTCAGTTCAGCCTCAGGCTGTGGATTGCTGAGTGGCATTTATGTAAAAGCTAAAAACTCTCTTCTCTCTTCCCTCTGCTACCAATCAGAAAGAGGAGAATGCCTTGCATAAGATGTCAGACCAAAGCACAAAACCCCTATTCAGATTTATTTTGAGAATTATCACAGCTTCTCTTCATTTACTTCCTACCTTTTTTGGTTTGAATATCTTAGCAAAGTGCTCGGTGAACAACTACAGAGGCTGGAATAATTTATAAATTCAGCTATGATGAGACATCACAGCATCATTTCCCACAGGAACTCTGGTGATGGAAGAAAAATGTTGGTTCCCTGTGACAATGACATCCCATAGCACGCGGCAGAAGAGCTCAGAGTCGCCCCACTGCCCACACAAAGCAGCTCTGGAGGGTGCCCAGAGTCCTCCCACTGTGCATGGGGCAGGCACAACCTCATGGGGGAGTATAGAGTTAATAAACAGCTTTGACCTAAGCCAACCCCGTTGTGTGGGTGGCACTGTGTCACCTCTGGGACCCGTGTGTCCGTCTGTCCCAAAGGCAGTTTATGAGCTTGACCATGCCCCCACTGTGGGCTGTCTGCTCTGCCTCTCCCCTGTGCCTTCCACATCTCCCTCCTTTGGCACACACACAGATTTCCTGCAGAACAGCAGCAATCACCTTAAATTCTGGATGCTTTCTTTCCTCACCTAGATTAGCAGCCTTCTTGCAAAAAGCACTTTTGTAAATGTCATGATGCGCTGGAATCAATTGTAGTACATACCCTTTAAATAAAACAACAAAGTAATTCCTGAGAGCCGTGGTATTTCAAGACATCCAGGGTAAACAGAAAATTCTGTTGGTGCTTGGGTTTATTCTCAGGTGATCCAACAAGAGAGGAATACAAGAAAAATCTGTGGTTGTAGCAGAGGCATTGCTGGGAGGGGATTTTGCCATGTGTGTATTCTACTCTCCACGGAAAGAGGAGATAAAGCCAAGTGTGGTTTCCTAAAAATGTGTGACCAGTGAATTACTTCCTGCTTAATAAAACATAACTAAATGCATCTAAGTTTCTCCAGATGGATATTATTTATGAATCAGGGAAAAGATAAAATTAATAGGAACATCAAAGATGTGCTGAAAAGTTTCCTGATTAAACATTATCTGACCTCCAAATGGTCTTCCTCTGCATTTCCTGAAGCAATTTGGCTATTAGTCAACCCATTCCTTCCACAGAAATGCAGATGACAGGTTTATAAATATCTGAATCGGAGCTGGAATCTAAACTTCATTTTGATTTAAATGCTGTTCAGCAAGGTGACATTTTTTTCAGGGACGAGATGCCCTGGCAAAAGAGGGAGGACACGCTTTTTGCACTCGGGATTTTTCCAGCATAGCCAAATATTTATTATCCATGGTCAGAGGGATTGCTTGGTGTGAATGACCACGGCACACTGCTTTTGTTAGGGCAGGAGTTCTTGTGTGGATAAAAGTCTGCAGGCTGCTGTGGTGACTGAGCCATAAAGGCATTTATCACACTTAGGCTTGCTCACACACTGCAGCTCAGAGCTGAACCACAGCACAGAAATCCAGGCACTGCTCTGTCCCAAAGCCAAGGGAATTCAAAGGATGCAAAATGACTTCTCCATATTCTTTCTCCCACCCATACTTGATGTACAAATTAGACAAACCTCTCTTTTTCAGTTTTTCCCTGAAAAAAACCCCTAAAATACAAGGATGTCCTTGGGAGAGCTTCGCTCTGCTGATGAACTTCCACACTCTGAATTTCTGCCACTCCAGTAATATCGCTCTCTCTCAAAACACAAACGTGCTGGGAGAAGCTCATAGCTGCAAATCCCAGGAAGCCTCTTCAGGCTCATCATTAAGAGCATCCTCTGAGCTGGCACTTCACAGAAATCAGAGGAGGGAGAGTGAGTAATAGCCTGTGTTAGACAGAATTTCATTAAAATAAATGATCCACTCTGTGTACGTTCTGAAGGAGCTTTAGGAACAAGTGTCAAAACACTTCAGTGACAATTGTGACTATTATTCCTTCTGCTGAACTGTAGATTTTACTGCTGTAAGCAGAATTCCAGGGACATAGCTGCTGCTCCAGAGCTCCACATTTCACATCAAGCAGACCTGGCAGGGCAAATCTGGGCAATTCTGCTGCAGGAGAGCACAGGAGCTGCAGTGCACCAGGAAAAGAGCCCAAGCACACACAGAGAAAAAACACACCAGAAGCAGGGAGACTTCAACACCACCAGTGCCATCAAGTGCCAAGTGCTACAAAAAAAATTACCAGCTCAGAGTCTCAGAGAATGACTGCAGAAGAATCACAGACATTGCATTCCCACTCTGAGCTGTAATCAAGGAGAAAGGGGGATCTTGCAGAAATCTCTGATCTGCATAGAACATTCTGTGTGTTTAGTTAAAGATTTGTCAGATAATTAATTCAGTGAATTTAAAAGGGCCATATTATTCTCTCTGAAAGTTGAGATTAATTTACATCCCAAAGTATCTAGCTGTGTTTGCTGAGCTAACTTGATCACACAGCACTTTTCTGTGCATTTAATCTTTACATATCCATAGAGGCAACTTCAGCTTGGTGATATCCTGCAAAGCCTACCCACTGCTCTGGGAAGCCCAGCTGCTTCAGGATATGCAGGAGCTAATTAGAAATGCAAACTCATCTCCTCCTGTGCCACAGGTCAGTTTCTGCTGAATGCATCCAGAGCCTGGATATTTTTCAAAGAACACCTCAAATGGCCATGCCTCACACTAGGAATTCCTGCCTCATCTGAGTGATCTTTCACTGCCGTGATAGGACTGAAATCCTGCCATAAATGTGCCCTGGGATGAGCTCTCCTCAATGACATTCCTCTTCTTTATGTCCACAAAGTGATCCTGAGATGTCTGTGCTGGGATAAATGCAATTTCTGAGGAGGATGGAGGTGGTTGGTGTTGTCAGGCTGCTGCAAATGTTCAAACTCTGAAGTGGGTCATGAGGCCACACAACTGCACAGGAACAGAGAGCCACAGCTTTTGCCTTGCATCCAATAATGCAACACAAA